ACCCCAGTGCCTGCCAGCTCCTGGGGAAAGCACACCCTGCTTGGCCAATCCCCCCAGAAGGGAGGGCATCAAGATGATCAGAGGGATGGAGCAGCTCTGCTGTGAGGAAAGGCTGAGAGAACTGGAATTGCTCAGCTTGGAGAAGACTTTGGGGTGACCTAATTGCAGCCTTCCAGTAGCCAAAGGAGCCGACAGGAAAGATGGAGAGACTATGTCCAAGGTCATGTAGTGCCAGGACAACGAGGAATGGCTTCAAACTGACAGAGTAGGGGTAGATGGGATATTGGGAAGGAATCCTTCCCTGTGAGGGTGGGGAGGCCCTGGCACAGGTTGCCCAGAGAAGCTGTGGTCTGCCCCATCCCTGGAAGTGTCCAAGCCAGGTTTTGGACGGGGGCTTGTGGACACCCTGGGCTTGGGTGGAAGGTGTCCCTGCCCATGGCAGGGGGTGGAACAGGACGAGTTTTAAGGTCCCTTCCAACCCAACCCATTCTGTGATTCTACCAAACCACAAAGAACAACACTTTTTCAGATGCCTCCAATACTGCCAGGATTGCTACAACCAGTAGCAGTCTCACTGCACCCTGGAGTAGAGTTCAGCAAGGTCCAGCCCAGCAGTGTGTGGAGATGCCAAAGGGGAGCTGGAGTCCTGAAACAGAGGTGGCTTGGGAAATTTAGAACAGGTATGCTGAAATGGAGGCAGAGGACTGCTTGGAGGCCTGACTGGCCAGTGGGGAGGCCAGGGCAGGACCTGGGTGTATAAATGAGGGCCCCCTGGGAGGAGTCCTCATATAGAAGACACACAAATGGTGATGACAAGTGCTGAGTCTGGTCACCAGTAAAAAGGGTACTGCTACATCCACATCCTGCTACAAAACTCACCTCTTATTATTCAGATTGAGAACTGTTATTTAATGTAATTATCACTGCTATTACAACCTATTCTACATCTACCAGCTCTTCAATCCAGCTGTGCTGAAAAACGGTGTTCACTCATACCAATGGCTGTACAGTCATTTTAGAAATTTTGATACAAAGCTTCCAGCTTTCTAAGGTATTGAGAGCTGTATTTTCTAATGTATTCAAATTGTATTTCCTTCTTGTTACAGAAAAGACCACTTCTAATGAAGCTCTCCAAAGCACTGTAATCCAAAGAAAACCTAAGGAACTATGAAAGCAAGACTGAGCAAATTCTAATTATCTTTTGAAGGCTACACTGCCGTGCACACAAAAATGGATTTAAATGCATTACAGACCTAAAAACGTGTAATGGATGCATTGCTAGCCTATTACATGCAGTTCATTGTGCAAAGGTTTTTGGTTGTATGTTTTGTGCAGTGGGCTGTAAAAGTTGCTTAACAGAAGAAAATACATTTGATTAAAAATTTACATCAGAAGAATGTAACAGGGCTTTTTTTCCCTCTTTGCTATTTTATCTGCCACTGACTATTCCCATTGGTATTCAGTTCATCTTAGTCTCACGTGCAAAAAATAAGAACTAAAGATGGAAAAGTTTCACGTCTAGATCCCAAACTGTACTGAAGACAAAGCTGTCCAAAAAATAGCTCCAGTTGGAAAAAAACACCACCTATTCCCACTTATAAGTGGGAGGATCATGAAGTGACATTGAGATGTTTAAATAGTTCTGCTCCAGTGACTCCCTTTGCGAGAAAAATCACGGGGAAAGCGGGTGGTGCTTGGACTTCCTACAGCGCTCCCAAATCCTGTCCAGGCAGGAGCAGCCCCTGAGTCATCCTGTCACACAGGATGCCACAACTGCCCCGGATTCAAGGAAGAAAAAGGCCTTTAAATCTCTACCATATTCCCAGCAAAGCCAAGCAAACTTAGAGGCCCTTAGTGACAACCATTTAGAGCAAAAAGCAAACTGCAAATGTTCAGCTTGCAGCACTGAAAGAAATCAGGAAGATTTAACAGCTTAGTTAAATGCCCCTATCCAAAATCACACAAGAGTTTTCCCAAGAACAGGTCCAAGTCCAAACAATTGGCAGAACTGGAGCAAGATCAGTTTAAATCAAGATAAATAAGTAAACATTACAAAGCCCAGCAATCTCCCGTGTTCTGCCCTAAATGCTCAGCACTCAGAGCTCCCTTCATGACCGTAAGGCCAGGTGGAGAATATAACAAACAGAGCCTGCCTGCCAACTCCAGGGCCCATCCACTGCTTTCAATTTAACAGAAAGTGCAGCCAGAAGGAGGGGGAGCAGGCCTGAGCAGGGACCTGCACATGGCTCACGGGGCAGGATGTTATTCCTCCTGGGAGGTCTGGCTGCACTTCACTCAGCCCTGGGAGCAGATGAAAGCCGAGGGGCAGCCTGGCCCTGGGCACACGTGGGGAGCCCACCTCCCATCCCTCTGGGGCTGGACACTGCACAGGGGTGGATGGCATTTCATCCTTGGCTTTCAGCCCTGCCTGCTTTCTCTGGGCTCCACCAGGCCACGGAGACACAAAGCCCACGTTCAGTGCTGGTGCTCCAGCCCAACCTGGCCTTTGAGGCTGGAAGAAGGGAAAAACGTCCTCAGACCCCCTTGCCAGCCTCGAGCAAAGCACAGCAGCTGTGCAGGCTGCACCCACCACCAGCAACCACCTACCGTCCTCTGACCTCTTTGTGTTGGCAGAAAGGCCAGATAACATCAAAATGCAATAATAAAAGGCCAGAACACGCAGCAAGGCAGGTCTGTGACGGGGCTTAATGGCAATCACAGGGTCACTCAGCCAAACCAGGTGGGACAAGAGCTGAGTCCAAGTGAGCACAGGCTCCTGAAGCACAAGGGCACATTAGAGGTTGGGATAAAATCCTTCCCTGGGAAGGTGGGGAGGCCCTGGCACAGGTTGCCCAGAGAAGCTGTGGCTGCCCCATCCCTGGAAGTGTCCAAGGCCAGTCTGGACAGGGTTTGGAGCAACCTGGTCTAGTGGAAGGTGTCCCTGCCCATGGCAGGGGGTGGAATGGGATGATCTTTAGGGTCTTTCCCAACCCAAACCATTCCATCATTTTATGATTTATAATAATCCATATTTACAAGTAAATTAAATTCCTACATCTATTTTCCTTCATTAGGCCCAATCTCTGTTCCCAAGCACATAAAATGATGAATTTCACTCATTTCCCTAAAACGCTGGCAGTCACAGTTGCAACACAACTAAAAAAAATTGCAAACTTGTAATAGTCATAGGCAGGAAAGCAAAAAAATTTCAGCAGCTAAAAATGATAAAAATAGTGAACCAGGTGTCTGTGCTGAGTAATTCAGGAAGACACAACCCTTTGCTGATCGTTCCCACCAGTTTAAGGATCAACATCTGATTTCACACCTGCAAAAATCCATCTACAAAGCAACAAGGAAAACAAGTAGCAAAGATAAATAAATAAAATTAGCACAATTATCTCCAGTGAACACTTTTGGAGCAAAACCAGGTGGGTACCCACCTCTCAGGCACCAGCAAGGAGGGGTTTCAGTGCCACTGGAACAGGGAGCAGCCCTAGGAGCAGGCTGGTTAAATCCCTGCTGCTCCTCAGGTGCTTCTGGGCATAGGTCTGACCCAGAAAGCCACCGACTCAGGCAGTTATCCCTGACTCCATCCAGCCGTGGGTACAGATTTCTGGAGGAGTTCATCATTCCAGGGAAAATGAATGTTTCGGTGAGCTCAGGTCACCAGACTGATTTATCACCTTGGCTATCAGGCTCTTTAGAGCCACTGCATTATGCAAACACTGTGCACATTTCAGTATCTGGCCTCAAAACCACGGACTGCTGAAAATGTGTTCCCCACCCCAGCAAGGGGAGGAAGTGGTCTCGGATGAAAAACCTTGATGCAGGGAGCGGGAGGGAGAAGAGGTTGTGCCACACAGGAGATAAACAACCAAACCTTTGTCAAATTACTGTTAAAAGGGACACAACAAATAACGAGCAGAGTCAGGGGCGAAAAAAACCCACCCTAAATTCTCTAAAAGGACAGCCAACTCCTGAATCTCCAGCTGCAGAGCAGCCCTTTCAAGATGCAGCTCTCAGTGCTTCCTGCCTGGATCCCCCCAGAAGAGCAGCACGGTCTAATGGAAGTCACATTTGATGTGCTCTGTGCTGCTCAATGCAGAGTGGCTGAATTACCGGGTGCAGACCTCATCATACTCTTAAAAAGTAATTTGGAATCAGGGCTTTGATTTAGATTGGCTTTATCCTTTACTTTCAAAGTACAACTGGTAATAATGTAGTCTGTGAGTTTAACATTTGAAACAGGGGTTCCATTTACCTCTTTGTACTTACTGGAGGAAAATTACTGTAATTGAAATCTTTCTGCTGGAAATGAAGCCCTTCTAACATTTAAAGTGGTTGCTTGTCCTTCAGGCTTTTTATTTTAGCTGTCAAAACTGTAAACTGCCTTTCAGAGCAGTGAGAGTCTTATAAGAGAGGATGAAATGAATGCACCCTGGATCTAGGTACTGGGTGTTTTAATCTAATTTTCTAGCTAGAAATACAGCACTTCTCTCCCTTGGGCACTGCTGGGAACAGGAAAATTCAGCTTCACTTCAGCAATATCTATCAATGAACCTCAAACAAGGGACAGGGCTTTTCAAGGACAATGCAAAACCTTTCAAGTCCTCCAGCTTCGCCCATAAGCTCCCTCCCACCCAGGCAGCAACACGTGAAGCCAGACTGCCCACTCACACTGCCTCTCTCCACACATCTCCCACACTTTCTAGAAGTTCATAGATTTTCCAAGAGTTTGCCTTTTTTCTTTCCCCCTCAGATCAAACTGATTTCCTAGTGTCAGCACTATTATTTGCATGGAGCTTTTGAATTTTAATTCCAGTGTAAATGCACTCAGGCTGAATACGGGTATTGTGTGAAAGTGGCTCGTGGCCAAACGACCTCATATTAGATCTCTGAAAGGGTTAACATAAAAACTTTGGGGTTTATCCAGTAGGCTCCCTTTTAGTTTGTGTTTCAGAATGTTAGCAATTAACATGATAGCAGACTCAAAGATGAAATCGTGTGGATTTCTACTTTAGCTAGTTTTATTATTATTTTAATCACAACTAAAAATACATTGCTGTGAAAGGGTTTATAGTGCTTGTTTACACAACTTAAAAAAAACGTTTGGATGACTTGAGCAAACACATCAATACAGCCAATGCCTCTCTCTTCTGTTTCCAGTTCCAACATGTCTTTAGGATAAAAGGTGAGCATCCAAAGACAGCTGAAGACCATTTTGCAGGCTTTGTGTTGCAGCTGCGTGACCACTGCCCACCAGTACAAACCAGCCTCTGCACAAGCAGGCAGGTAACCTAAAATTAACTGGTTAAGAGATGTCAAGGTGCCAGGTGGACCCAATGACTTTGGAAGCTCCCAGAAGACCCATGAGGGTTGAATCTCTGAAGCTCAGGCAAGTTACATCAGCACACCTTGGCTCAGATCTGTCTGCAGAGGCTGCAGATAATCCAAACAGGATGAGCAGCGTTCAAACCCAATCAATAGAACAGTTTATGGCAGGAAAGTGCAGTGATGCCAAGAGAATAAAACAGGTTGACAATTTATATGGGAAGGAATATTTTACAATATAAAAGCTACCTGCAGAGTTACCTCTGACATGTATATAAATATATATGCTTTATCACAGTGGGGTCTTCAGACCTCAACATCTTCCGAAGTAAATCAAAAGAAAAAAAAAAAAAGAAAATATTTGTGATGGCCAGAGGCAAGGACATCAACTTCAGCAAAGCCAGCCAGCTAATAAAAATGTCAATGAACTTCTTTAGAAGAGAATTAGGAGGGAGCAGTGCCATGTCAGCACTGCAGCACACACAGGAAGAGCAGCTCCAGTTCTGATTAACCGAGATACTGCACTGACGGCAGGGCAGAGACACAACCTTTCCCTAACCTAAAATGACCTGCCTTAAACAGAGATTATGTAACACTTCCACATGGGGAGAGTAAACTTAATTTAATTTTCACAGGCTGCTGCCAGGAGAGACATCACTGTCCTTTCTACTCACACTCACCCAGGTATTCCCAGGTACACCTTGCTGTACACTTGTGGTGAGCTGGGACACATCTGACCTGCCTGAAAACAAAGCCAGCCCAAAAAAGGAATAAAACCCCTCCAGTTTGGGTTGGGTCACTTCCCCAGGTGGCTGCACAAACACTACTGCTGACAACTGGGAGTGGGAGCACTCATTCCTGCAGCAGCCCACACTTGTGTCAGCTGAAGAGGAGAAACTGCATCTCCAAGTGAGATTCTAAATCCACTTAGACAAACTGCCATAAAAAGCTGGTTTGAGAATTTCAAAGGTTCTTCAGCTTAGCTCACATAAACCCAATTTCTAAAACCTTGACAACACAGAGAAGTTGCAAAAGAATTTGACCTAATTTTTTAAGCCACTGTGGTTACACTATCACAGAAACACTTGTTTGACAGAGTGTGTACCCAGAGAGCCCAGCCAGAGAACTGCACCAGTTTAATACATTCAGTGTCAATTCACACCCAAGCCATACTAGTACAACTTTCACAGGCAGACAAGACTTGAAGCTAATGCAGAACAAGCCCCAGCCACAATAAGAACGTTGACACAAAATCCTGTGTTCAGTGAGAGGGACAGGCCCACCTCATAGCCAAGACCAAAATTTCTCCTGAGTCTCCCATTAAGAAACCCCCACTTCAACCCAAATGGATAACAGTCTCTTATCACACAGGAAATCCAATAAAAGACCAGGCATGCACTTCAGTTTTTGTCTTCCTAAGTGTGTGCATTATGGTTTGGGGATTCCCCCCCCCCCAACAGATGAACAGACTTGGCAACTTCCCTGGTGAATCGGAAGAAAGTCTTGTAAAAGCACAAGTAACTCTAAGAATACAGATTAAATGGGTTTCCTGGATTTCATCCATGATCAAATTTCCCAGGTTGTAGATCTCAAAAATATCTGTCTCTGACAAAGCTGGTATGACAGGTTATGTAACACACACAGAGAATCACCCGGTGACAGCAAAGCAGGAACATTATCTGCTGTGTTCAGGGACTCGAGGGCTTTCTGAATGAACTGCAAGGGCTATGAAAAAGAAAAAAAAACAGAAAAGAAGAAACTGAATCACAAAATGTGAAAGAAAGAGAAATCCCCATGAGTTTCAAATAGCCAGCTTCACCCACTGGCAAATAACTACCAATTTCCTTAGCTTTTTATTTCCAGGAACTTCCATATGGTAAATATGCTGAGGTGATTTGTTTTGATATAGATATTTATAGGGCAGATATGATTTAAAGAACATGGAATTATAGTAGAGAAACATCAAGGAGATAATATATAAATGCCTAATAATGTGGGTTTTGCAGCCTTTTTGAGACTGCCCAAACCAAACAAAAATGGAAGTTACATCTGAGACTGTTAAATATGCTATTTGCAGCCTGGGATGAATGATAGGACAATCTTGTTAAATGAAATATAAATGCTTCTTGTTAAATGAAATATATATGCAGTATAACTTGAGGCACAAAGACAAGAAATAAATCAGTGTGGGACTATTTGCCAGAATAGAAAATTTCAGTCTAACAGCACACGAGTAAGCTTTCCTCTCAGTTTTAAGAACAGCAAGTTGCAAACTGCTCGAGGATGTTTAGGGAACAGATAGTGAGGCTGCTTAGTATTTTCACAAAAAGAAAAAAAAAGTTGTCTTGCTCTTTTCCCTATTTTGCTGGATTAAAGAAAACAGCAAAGCTACATCCACATACTGACGGTTTCTCAGCACTACTGACAACCAGACCAGCCTCTGACCCGGGGCAGGAAACCCTCCAGGGAGATCTCCAGTGAAAATGCATCCTTGTTAAGCAGGTCCTCGCTGCAATCTCGGTCCGTCCTCTCCCCATCCCCGTCCCTCCGTTTCCCCCAGGCACCTGGGTACCGAGGGGCAGGCGACACGAAGTGGAAGCTGAGTGTCAAAGGAAAACCCCACGGAAAGCACTCTGTTCTGTGCAGTAGGAAATACAGCAAACTCCGCAGTAAACCCCCAGCAAAGAGCCTTGGAATACATCTCGCTACAACTTCTTTCTTCCCGTAATAATTATGGACAATTAAACACTTAGTTGCTAAAGAAGAAGAGAAGAACTGACCTCCCTGCAGAAGCAGGTCACATAACGGGCTCCGCGGAACCAGAAATATCCCTCCCTTTCAAGCTCCACACGAGGAAAACAAACGCATCTCTACCACTTCTACTATTTTATTTTTTTTTCCTGAGGCAGCACTGGAGGAATGAGATCCGAGCTCCTCTCCTCCACCCGCACCGTGCTGAAGTTGCTGCCACGTTCCCAGCCCGTGCCCTGCGCTGCTCCGGCTTTCGGCACAGCCTCATCCCTGGAAAACCAACCCGCGGGGAAACTTCCCCGCTGCTGCCCAGGGAAGGGGCGCTGGGGAAGGGCTGCGGGACCGAGTGTCCCTGCAGGACTTACCTTCTCTGCATGCTTGAACTTGACGTAGAACCAACTCGACTTGATCATTGTCTCACCTCCTGCCCTCGTTAAGAACCAAAAAGCAACCCAAACCTATCCTGCTGACGGCGAGCAGCGCACCCTTCCCGACAGAGCGGGCAGTTTTCCGAGAGGATTTAGGGGAGAGAAGGACGAGGAGAAAGCTCGCGCTGTGCCCGCGCTGCCGTGTCCCTCCTGCCCGCCCGGCGCGGTCTGTCCCTGCTCGGGAGCTGCGAGCGGCTCAGCCCCGCTCCTCTCAGGCCGTCGCTCAAGCCCGCGTCGGCTCCTCAGCCCCGCTCCTCAGCCCCCGCTCCTCGAAGCCCCCGCTCATGACCCTCCGCTCAGCCCCCGCTGCCCTCAGGCCCCGCTTCCTCAGCCCTCGCTCCTCAGCCCCGCTCCTCAGCCCCCCGGTGCGTTGCTCAGCACCGCTCCAGCCCGCTCAGCTCTCCGCTCCTTCAGCCCCGCTCATCAAGGCCCCGGTCCGTCAGCCCCGCTCAGCCCCGCTCAGCCCCGCTCGCTGGCAGCTTGGCTGCCTGACAGCAGCATTCCTCAAATGGACTTCAGCTGCATTCATCACAAATGGCACATGTCAGTAAAGCCAGGAGGCTGGCTCCGGCGCTGGCAGCCTCCCAGGACCATGACCTCCCCCAGTGGGATGAATAATGAATTCCAGCACTTCCCTCCAGACACAGATTAACACCTGGCTAAACATTATTCTGACAATGAGCTGGTCCCTTCCGAGGACCCTGCACCGCCGCGTTAACCCCTTGCTCGCCCACCAGGCATGGTAGCGATGCTTTGGAGGCTGTCCCGCAATACCCTCCCCCATCGAAAGAAAGATTACAGGACTATATATAGTTTAGAAACAATAAAGCCTCTTAAGCATAAAGCAAATATCTCCTTTCCGATTCTGCAGCTGCAGTAACGCTGCCGAGGAACTGGAGCAAGTCCTCAGGAGCCAGGCTCTCTCCTGATACCCCCTTTTCAGCCCCACCTCTACAGTCACACTTGGTGAGCTGTGATGCTGCCAGGGTCATGTTTTAAAATAATACCTGCAAGGACATCTGTAAGAAAAAAACCAAACCAAACCAACCACCACTATCAATATGAAACTAATGCATAATAAATCCCGGGAAGCCACTGGTCAGGATGTTTGTTCTTCTGCCTGTTCAGAAACACTGCCCAATTCCCTGACTCTGGTTTAAAGTGACACATTCATTTGGCTGCAAATCTCCCAGCTCCCTGCATGCCACGGAGCAGTGAATATCACATTACAAACTACAGGGTGAATATAATCAGCCTCCTGTGCTTCCACTGTGCACAGCCAGGGCTGTACTGGAGCAGAGCTATGTGGCCCAGCATCCCGTGCCTCAACACTTCCCGATGCACAAGGAAACAATGCCAGAAATCTCAAGTCCAAGGATGTGCCCTCAGTATCATATGTATAAAACAGGACCTGAATTTGTCGCACAGGTAGCTGAACTTCTTTATGCTTCCATAAGATGCTGAACAAGGTTCAGAACTTCACTATAGAAGCAAAAAGTCACTTCATTTTGCTGTTTTAACCAGCTACCTGGTTATTTAAGTGGGAGTCTCACAGTACTCTACCCCAATAAAAGAGAATAATTTGCTTTGCATCATCTTCAGATCATGAATTTACAGATTTTTCTTGTCTCCCTTATATTACACCTTTTGGGGACCAGAGACTCACACACTATTAAATTTCACCTTGTATGGAAGCTGTGCATGTCTCCACAGATCTTTTTCATCACTCTCTTTACCTTTTCTAGGTCTCTTTTTCACAGGCAGAGTGAGATGGAATAAAGACATTTACAACTGACTTACCATCTCCAACTATATGCACACACAGAAATATAAAGCATATGAAACAGATCCTGAAACCCAGTTTGTCAATATTACTCACCTTAAAAGTACTATCAGTGCTGATAACGGTTCAGTGCATCACCTGAAAGCTGTGAATTTGAGAGCCTGGCTACTCATTCACCTCCAGCAGAGGTTTTTAGAACTTTTCATAAACTAAGACTTATACAAGGCATCCAAACATCAGTATTGACCAATAACAACCACTGCATGTATGTGGAGCTGAGGCTGCTCAGTCCTGCTCTGCCCTTAGACCCCTTCCCCGCTCAGCCCCACTCTCCATCAGGGCCCCACCCTTCTCTGCTCAGCAGGAAGGGAATTGGGGTGAAGTCCTCTCCCATCCTGCTCCATGTGGTCAGCTGGGCTGGTTCAAATCATGGCCTTCCACAGCTGTAGTTGTCAGAAATTACTTTCCATTGATGCCACAGAAAAACATTCCCACTCTCCCTTTAATTCTGCCTTCCTGTGGGACGGTTGACCTATGCTAAAAGGTAAAATGCCCCAGCCCTTTTCAGAACTATGGAAACATCAAAAATGGATGAGAAGGCCTCCTACAGGGAGTAACATAGAAAGAAAATTAAAACATTGATTTTTATTAGCACCTTCTATTTTCTGCACCCAAAAAGCTGCTTTTTGGAGGAGCAAATGGATAAATAGGACAGATCTGGCTGCATGATTGAATGAGATCAGGTCAGTGCAGGAGCCTTGCTGCCTCCCCAGCTGCGACTGTTCCTCCATCCCCGCAGCAGGACACGTTCCCTGCAGCCCTGCCCGGGATTCACTGCAGACACCACATGTGTGGTGTGTCAAGAGCCACCATCCACACGGACACCACGCTCTCTTGTACCCAATTAGAGGAAGTTTGCTCCCTGCACTGACCCAGGAGTCCCCGGGGGGGCCTCGGGGCAGCATCACAGGGCGCAGCCACCGAGGAGGGGAGAGCCGCCACCCGTACCAAGCACAAACAGCTGTGGCTCAAAGCAATTACCAGGCCCTGGATGTTTTCCACTGGTTCATTAGCATCTGGCAGGACCTAAAGTTCCAGGGTCACAAAACACAGAGCTATTATTTTATCTCAGGAAAATGCACAGCGACATCCCTCGAGAGCTGTCCTTTTGCAATCAAAGGACAAGTGCAGTGCAGGGAATGGAGATGCAGAATTTCCAGCCATCACATCCCCCAGCCAGGCAGGGATGGGCCCATCGTGCCACAGATTGCTCATTTTTTGTCACACTGTTGAAAACCCCCACATCATCATCCACAAATAGCCCCTGGCAGCATCAGCAGAGCCTGGTGATTCCTTACAACACCGACAGCTGGGTAGGTTTGCACACACCAAGTACACACCAGCTTAAGTTTTCAACACTCCGTTCATCTTTGCAGTAGAACAAAATACACCATTTATTTCCAAACCTACAGTGTCAGCACTTTCTCTGAGATGTATTTGGTGTTCCAGTTTTATAGAGCTATAATCTGTGTGCTGCATGACACAACAGCTTCACTTCTGTTTCACAACATTCATCTTCACCTCCTGGGGACAGGCTGCCAGACAAACACCACCTCGGGCAGGGATCCATCCCTAAAGGTGCTGCAGCACTCACCTCCAAAACCCTGTTAGCCCACACCTGCTCTTTCAATCACCATCAATAACATGAAATAATGTGCTTTTCCAGTTCTGAGTTTGTACAGCCACAATCCTGATGCATTTTA